ACAAGTATCATCGACTCGTAAGGGAGAGGTATGTCCGGAAGGACGAGTACTCCGTTCCTCTGCACCGCCAGGATCTCAAATCGCAAGGGTGGATAAACCCCACTTCAAGGATGGCTGCAAGTAGGTCCTGTACCGAGTACTCATAGGCATCCAAGCAAGGGACTGTGGTTTCGTATCACAAACACTCCCACCACCACTGCTCCTCCTCTTTGAGTTTTGTAACTGGTACCTTGTCGCCGGGATCGACTGGGTGGGTGGGTTCCTGCTGGGCACTGCTGGCACTGCTGCTATCTCTCGCGCTCCGACGGGTGGGGTGGGGCCCTTTTTGCTTCACCAGGTATTTATTCTGCTCATTGCTCATGGCCAAGTTACCTTAGACCCGGTTCCGATGATGATATGAGAGAAAAAAAGGGAACCTTGGGCGACCAGGACCAGGGTGCGGTGGTGGGGGTTGAGCGACATGGAGTCCAAAAAAAAGAAGAGACCAACTCCCAACCTTTGTTCGGCGGGATCCCACGTTGTTCCGTTCCGCCTTGCCGCGAGCGAATGCCTGTGATGAGAACGGGGAATCCAGCCAAAGTTGTTTCCCGCTGCGAATAAAGCAAGCCTCACTAGCCTTATCCTTATCATTCCTCCATCGTACTTTACACCACAATCTTCGGTAGAAATGCAGCGCGCATCAGCAAGAAACCTGCCTTGCCAACCAGCCAGCCAGCCCATCCAGAAACGATCGCTTGTGTCGCACATCAGCGAAGAAGAACCAACATCGTCGGGCATCCTTGGAGGCTAGCCACAAGCCCCCCCTCCCCCAAGCCTCTTCCGATCCATGTCAATTCTACCTGCATTTTGCCGTTTCCTGACATCCCCGATTGCTATCCGCCCTCTGATTCGGTCCTCCCGTCCTCAACCAAGTGATCAAGGTCCATTTGCCTGACAGCACGCAGGCACATGCCTCCCTGACTCTGTCCTGTCGGCAGACGCTCCTCGATTGAACCGAGACGCACACGGTACTATCGGTCCTGCACCTCAGCTTCTGTGCAGATAACGACCTTGCGTCGCTCCTCCATCCAAAATACCCATCCACCCAGCTGATAAACTTCTCCTGAACCATCAGAGTTGGATATTGCGTGCCAGTCCTCTCAGGCTCTCTCTCTCCCTCTCTCTCTCACTCTTCCTCTTTTTCTCGAAATTTTTGCTTCCTTCCCTCCTCCCCCCTGCCTCTCTGATCTCTCGTCGCTATCCCCGGTACAATGAGCACTTATCTGTGGTACACGTTCAGCTGGAGTTCTTTGAGAAAGAGCTTTGCGCCGTGGTAACACCCACCTCCCCCAAAACAGCTGCGTATGTCACCCTTATCCGCCATCGCTCACCGTACCGTTGGTTCTCGGACGAGACCAGCATTAATTGTCATGGATGCTGACCCGTGGCCAGGCTCAACAGTCCCATTCTCGACTCAAGATTGCATATAGAGATATCACACAGCCGGTGATATCACCCTCTTCGGAGGGGGAGGGGGTCATTACCCTTACACACAAGCCTCTTGGACCTTAGCGACATCTTCATATGCATTGCATAGATTCCATTTCTTTCTTCCGGAGACGTTGATCGAATCCCGGGCGCCGGTACCGCTGGTCTCGCCTCGATGTTTGGCTCGAACGCGTTGCCGTTACCCCCACCCTTTGCTCACGATCGTCCTCTCCGGTTGAGCGCTGAAAGCGCCCGTCCCCTCCCGACCGGAGAATGTCGATATCTCCTGTTGCACCCTTCGGCACAGAACCAACAATGTTCGTGCCAGTCCTTCCACCTCAACCGGAGCGCGCCTGGCAACATCTGTGAATGTGGCCATCAAGCCTGCTACCATGTCCACCGCGAAAACAACAATGAAAAACATACGGATACACTCAATGGTGTTCTTGATAAGATAAACGTCGTCTTTGATAAGGTCAAGCGTATGGAGGAAACCATTCAGAATGAACGCAGTAACCGGGATTCTGCTTTACAGAGAGAAAGACAGATGTGGGAAAGAGAGATTCGCATCTTACGTGAGGCGTTAGCACCCTTTTACCAAAGCGAAAAGGAAATGCGTCGACGCATCGTCGACATTGAAGATCGAGTGGACGGCAATTATGACGAGCACGTCCGCCTCAGGGACCGCGTCGTGGCCGTTGACGATGCCACCATGTCAATGGAGAAGAGGGTGGAGGAGCTCGAAGATTTTCGCTTCAAGAGGCGACGCGTGGGTCGCAATAACACCCAGGATCAACCTTTGCAGAACGGCTATGTCTCGTCTGACCCGGACAACTTTAGACGAGTCTCTTCGAGCATCGACGGAGGTTCGGTGCGTACGCCTTCATCGAGGGCATTGTCGCCCAATGGGACCGCGCCTGCTCCCGCACCGGAGCCAGAGGAACCTCGTTCGAGTGGAATCCTCAACCTGGTCGCTGAAATCCCCCGTCCTGGACACTTTGTCAATCTGCCCCAACGTCTCTCACCGCCACAAGAAGAGCCAAGATCAAGTGGCTTCTTGACATTAGACATGGGCGAGCGACTCAAAGAGAGGGCTGCCTCTGAGCAGGTAGCACAGATCTCCGTCCACCAGGCTTCTCGAATTACTCCACCCCAAGATCGACCAAGTCCATCCAACTCTGCAAAGTCCAACCAGGACATCCCTTCCAGAGCTACTCGAACCCCTCCCGAAATCCTCAACCCCAGAATGCCAATCATAGATGTCATGGTGCTCCCTGGCAACGTATCTCCAAGAAAGAGAAAGCATCATCTCGACCACATCGCCCTGGATGTGCTTGCCGATGTCACCGTCGCCAGTCCACTGATGCCCTAACGACCAATTTCAATTCTAGCTACCTCACTCATTTTCGCCCTTCCACCATTATGATGTGGTAGCCATGGCTTGTTTTGACCTCGCCATCTGTGGTGAGAATGATTAGCAAGGGGTATCCAAAGGGATTGAACGGTCATTTTGGAATGTAGCATTGGCACCACTTCTTTTATCGCGCGCAGATCTACTCTTTTTTTCACCTCAGAGGGTTGTCGGAATGGCTTGGGAACGCTCATTCTGTGGCTCAGTTCCTTTGTTGTACAGCTAGATGCCAGAAAATGAAACAACACGGTCCTTGTAACCAGTCTCAGGAAACGAGATAAGGAATCAGACTCACATTTTGGATTTGCTGTTGTGGAGGGTTCTAATTCGTAGGCCACTTTTTCAAAGTCCCCATGCAGGCTGCCTCTGGTTTTCCAGCCCAGTGATCCGCCTGTACAGTATAGATTGATAACGAATGTGCCATGTCAGCCCCGGTTATTTTGAAGAATTCAGTGACTGGCTGACGCAGAGGGCCTGCCAAAGGAAAGGATGACGATAAGTCGCAGACGCCGTACCTTGTCGGGCCTTATCCTCTGAGAACTCCCTTGCTACCTCATCGAATTTGACACCTTCGCGCAACTTTGCCAGGGCTTCCTCTTTCTTGGAATGCTTTTCGCACTGTTGGGGAATCAGAGGGGTTAAAAGGGAGTGTTTGACTGACAGGAGTGGCTGGATATACCACCCTTTCTGCCCAATACCGGGACCAACCTACCAAAATGTGTCTGACGTTGATGGATTGAGCCGCTTTCAGCTTCCCACTTCCACTGGCTGCTGGGCCATCATCGTCTTTGCCTTTGCCCTTGCCTTTGGCACTGCCAGACGAGGATTTGCCGGAATCTTTGCCCTTTGGTGCCATTGGACCTTACTCGGAGAAGTACCTTTTGCGCAGGGATAGTTATTGTAGAAGCACTTGCAATGAAGTGGTATCAAATTGCGTTCTGAAATAAAAAATGCTAGGACTGCTATTGAAACTCGACTGTGAGGTGCCGCACTGGCAAAAGTTGGTTGCTCTCAAATAGGGTATTCTCGTAGCCGCGTGGTTTATTATTGATAAGGAAATCCAAGAACGGAAAATAGAGTACGAACGCGATTATGACCCTTAAATTTCCTTTTTGGACTCGCGTCGGATAAGCTCTTGGCGGGCACAGTGCAAATGACGCTCGCTCCCTCGTCAGCCCCAGTTCGTGCCAGTCTCGTTCCCGGGGTGGGCGTTTTGGCACCACCACTTGGCCGTGGTCCTTCTTGTTCCCCCTTTGACAAAAAAGTCAGAAAAGGTGCCTTGTGGATCAGCCAGCGAGCAAACCTCAGCAGGTGCCCGTCATTCTCCTCGCTTCCAGCGGCCACCCTGCGCACCACTCATACCAGCCTCAGCACAAGCAAAAACCCTCCAACTCACCGAGCGAAACGGCTCTGGATATGAAGGGAAACACATTTATGTGCGATATGCAGTATCGCAGAGGGACCGCATCCCATAGATAGGAAAATTGCTATACCACTTGCTGCGTATATACAGAGTCGTCACGTGACGGCCCTTTGAGGTTTCTTTAACGCCGGCCGGGATTCGCGCTTTTCGAGGAAAATGGTGATTCCAGACATCCGGCATGAGCTTGGGCTTTTGGGACTGCGCACCCACGGCTGCCACCAACTGCGATTGACCATGACCCAGCATCCTCTTCATCGCCACCAACCTTCATCTCCTTTAATCCTCCCTCCATTCTCATCACCATCCCATCGCCTTTCCCCAATTGCGCGACGGTGAAATACATTTCCATTGCCCCCCCAGCTGAACAATTATGTCGCCAGCCCCTTGAATGATTCCGAATCCGGTGACACGACCTGACTGTGCCAACCGAACGCCCTTGAAGGGAAACCCAAACGGAGTGGATCGACCCTCGTCTCATCCACCCCAACCCATCCTCATCGCGATCATTGTCGTTGGCGAACAAAAGAGTGCCTCCCACCTGCTTGCAGCGCCGTGCCACGATTTAGCAATGGAGACTGGGCAAAGGCAATAGATAAACACCGAGATAGCGACTCCCATGCCAGTAGGACCATCACACCAACGGTAGACCCAACAAGATCCACGACGTTTAGTTGGTCAACAAGGCAAAAAGATTTCACAATGTCTGGATCGACACCTTACGCGGTTCGTTCGCCGACGCAGTCGAACCAATACCCACCACCGTATTCACCAACTCACCCGAACCGCCCTTTTTTCGTCCACGAGCCGTTCCAGATACCTCCTCAACACCTCATCCAAACTCCGCCTCCATTTCCTCCTGCGTCGCTGGTCCATAGCCCGCATCATACCCGGCCCACGTTGGCATCACCCTTGCCTTCGGCGAGCGCCCTACCTCCGCCACCACCACCTCCTCTTCCTCCTTCGATAGGCGCAGGACCGCAGTATCAACCTCTGACATCAAGTCCACCGTTTGCGCTTCAGAGATCGTACTCTGGACATCTGGTTCATCCCAGTATGCCGTCAGCATACGATGTCAATCCTTCGCACGCGCATCCAGCTGGGCCCCCGAGTTCGGCGCTGCAGTCTCCTTTGAGGGATCACCATAGCCTCACCAATGGAAGACCTGGAGACATTTCTTCTTCAGATTCGCGGCCTCAGTCGAAAGATGTGAGTTTTCAAATGCGCTGCCGCCCCAATGAGATGCTGACTTTGTCCCATAGAAGCCTGACAGAGCGAGCAACCCAATGTCCTTTGCGAGCATTCTTGGTCCTTCGAACAATGAACCCTCTCCTAAAATGGCTGAAGCAAAGCTGCCGCCAGCGCGACCAGCGACACCGCCGCCACCACCACCGTCAGCGCCGGCGCCAGTGCCGATATCATTGCCTGTGGTAGAAAGCAAGATTGTGCCTGAAAAAGTCCCTGCGACGAAAATGCTAGATCTTAGTCCAGGTCTGCCTTTGGGGAATGGCCACACCAAATCACAATCGAAGGCGGAAGCAGTATTCCCTCCTAAGAAACATCTCGCTCCACCACGACCACGAAAGATACTAACAGAGGGGGAGGCCGACAAGATACTGAAGGCCCTTGCCGTTATTGATGAGACTGTTTTCAGTGATGCCGAGGATGCGGCCTGGTCTGAATACAAGGAACGGTACAAACAGAGAAGCAGGAAGAGAGCTGCAGATGTCTACGAAGGTGAACTGCACAAGCGGAAGGTAAGTGATTCATCTACCGCACCCAACACAACAGTCCGGCTGACCTCCCTCATAGCGTCGTCGCGGCTATCTTTTAGAATCTTTCATCCGGTCCATGGACAAACAAGCACTCATTGCCACCCAACGCTTCCGTGAACGCTTTGAGCCTATCGCCGCCAAAGAAATTGCAGACAAAGATCACCAGAGCGAGAAGGAGAGAAAGAAAGATATGCAGCGCAAACGCCGTCGTGAACAACAGATTCGCAACGAGAAGGAGAGACTTGAGGAGCTCGAACAGCGTGCTCGAGAGGCCGAAGATCAAGAAGAGGCACAGAAGTATCTGAGACAAGCAGAGAAATCCCAGGCCCGCATCAAACAAACCACTGAATTGCTCGAGGGCATTCCCCCTCAAGAAGACATGGAAGTCCCAGCACCAGCCCCCAACTATGAAGGTGGTGTTACCTCGTCCTTCCAGCTCGCCACGCCCGAACCTGGAGAACCTCCCAAGAAGCGAAGCAAGAAGGACCCCGGTGCTCCCTCCGCTCGTTTGAAGAAGTCCAAGGAAAAGAAGCAAGCCGAGAAAGATGCCGCAGAGGCGGCTTACGCGGCAATGGAAAAGGATGCCTTGGTCCAGATTGCACCCAAGGAAGAATCAACACCCGCTCCATCAGGAAAGTCCAAAAAGTCCAAAGTCCAAGAACCCCCCGCCAGCCCTCCACCCCAGACAGTCAACTATGAATCGAAAGGGTACGTTCAAATCTACGAGCAAATCTGGAGAGACTTGGCCAGGAAAGATATTCCCAAAGTATATCGCATCAAGCAAGTATCTCTTGCTACCAGAAGCGAAAATCTCCGCAAAACTGCCATCCTCGCGAGCAAACAAGCGCGCAAATGGCAGGAACGCACCAACAAGAGTATGAAGGATACACAAGCACGAGCGAAACGTGTCATGCGGGAGATGATGTCCTTCTGGAAACGCAATGAGCGAGAAGAGCGAGATCTACGTCGTCTGGCCGAGAGGAAGGAGATTGAAGACGCAAAGAAAGCTGAGGCGGATCGTGAGGCCAATAGACAGAAGCGAAAGCTCAACTTCCTTATCTCACAAACCGAGATCTACTCACATTTCATCGGGCGAAAGATCAAAACAGACGAAATCGAAAGAGCTACAGACGATGCCGAAGTTGCCGGGGCTGTGGAGAAGAGGGTACCTGCCCCAGATCGGGACCGTGGGATGGACGACTTGTCGCTGTCTGATGAGCACGGAAATCACAAAGTCACAAACTTTGAAGACCTCGATTTCGATGCCGAGGACGAGTCGGAGCTGAGAAAAGCCGCGGCGGCCAACGCTGCAAGCGCATTACAAGATGCACAGGACAAAGCCCGCAACTTCAACGCGCAAGACCCGATGGATGCCTTTGATTCTAGTGAGATGAACTTTCAGAACCCCACCATGGCTGGCGATGTCCAGGTCTCCCAGCCCAAGATGTTACAAGCGCAACTCAAGGAGTACCAGCTCAAGGGCCTCAATTGGCTGGTTAACCTTTATGAGCAAGGTATCAACGGCATTCTGGCAGACGAGATGGGTCTCGGCAAAACCGTGCAATCCATCTCGGTCATGGGCTACCTTGCGGAACAGCACAACATCTGGGGACCGTTCTTGGTCATTGCTCCCGCCTCGACGCTACACAACTGGCAACAAGAGATCACCAGATTTGTGCCGGCCATCAAGGTTCTTCCATATTGGGGCAGTGCAAAAGACCGCAAGATTCTGCGAAAGTTCTGGGACCGGAAGCACATTACTTACACGAAAGACTCCGAGTTTCATGTTCTCGTTACTTCATATCAACTTGTCGTTCAGGATGCTCAATATTTCCAGAAGATCAGATGGCAGTACATGATTCTGGACGAGGCGCAAGCAATCAAGTCGTCGAGCAGTTCGAGATGGAAGACACTTCTCGCTTTCCAGTGCCGCAACCGACTTTTACTGACCGGCACGCCTATCCAGAATAACATGCAGGAGTTATGGGCTCTACTCCACTTCATCATGCCGACGCTCTTCGACTCTCATGACGAGTTCAGCGACTGGTTCTCAAAAGATATTGAAAGCCACGCGCAGAGCAACACCAAGTTGAACCAGGATCAACTCAAGCGTCTGCATATGATTCTCAAGCCGTTCATGTTGCGACGTGTCAAGGCCCACGTGCAGAAAGAACTTGGCGACAAGGTTGAGAAGGATGTCTTCTGTGAGCTCACCTACCGACAACGAGCATACTATTCGAATTTGCGTAGCAAGATCAGCATCATGGACCTTATCGAGAAGGCGGCGCTGGGTGGCGATGAAGATACTGCCACACTGATGAACTTGGTCATGCAGTTCCGCAAAGTTTGCAACCACCCGGATTTGTTCGAACGAGCAGACACGACGTCCCCCTTCTCCATGTCGTATTATGCCGAGACTGCCTCATTCGTCCGCGAGGGGTCATTTGTGCAAGTTGGCTATTCAGTTCGCAACCAAATTCAATACGATCTGCCTCGAGTACTTTGTAATGATGTCGGAAGAATTGACATTGCCGGGCCTGGCAATCCGTACGCTGGGTTCCGACGCGCTGGCTTCAAGACCAAGGGACTTGGGGGCTTGATGAGAATCTGGACTCCTGAGCACATCAAAAACTCGGCGGAGGAAGACGGAGCTTTCTCATTCTTGCGATTTGTCGACACCTCGGCAGGTGAAGCCTCATTTCATGGCGAATCGGGACTTTTTGAGCGCGCGATGAAGCTCAAGAAACAGCAGGGACGGAGCTTACAAATCTTTCAAGATTCTGAGGACGGACCCGACGGGCCGCCTGTGCATGCTATGTTCAACATCGTGGAAAACCAACCGCGTCGGGCCCTGATGGAACTGGACCCCAACTCGAACCTCGCGAGACTTTGTAATGTTTCCACGGATACCCTTGCAGAACACGGAGTCTCAGTGCTCGAGCCGGCGGCCCGGCCAAAGGCGTTGGCTCCGCCGATTGAGATCAGTTGCTTCGATCAATCCTCCATCTCTGAGCGACAGTTGACCTTTTTCAACATGGATATTCGCAGTACTCTGTACCCGCTGGAAGCTTCACTCGAGGAGAAGTTGCTTGAGCGTGACGTGGATCCTGCCAATTTCCCCATCTCCAACATGCTACCAAGGCCGGAATCTGCGAAGGCCAGGTACACCAACATCTCGGTGCCATCGATGCGCCGATTTGTTACAGATTCGGGCAAGTTGGCGAAACTGGATCAGCTACTCCGAGAACTCAAGATGGGCGGCCACCGTGTGCTCTTGTACTTCCAGATGACGCGTATGATTGATTTGATGGAAGAATACCTTACGTACCGTAACTACAAGTATTGTCGACTGGATGGTAGTACCAAATTAGAAGACCGGCGAGATACGGTGCACGACTTCCAAACGCGGCCCGAGATCTTCATCTTCCTATTGTCGACACGTGCTGGGGGTCTCGGTATCAATCTGACATCTGCCGACACCGTCATCTTCTACGACTCGGACTGGAATCCCACGATCGACTCGCAAGCCATGGACCGAGCGCATCGACTTGGTCAGACCAAGCAGGTTACTGTCTATCGCCTCATCACTCGAGGCACGATCGAAGAACGAATCCGCAAGCGGGCGATGCAGAAAGAGGAAGTCCAACGTGTCGTCATCACCGGTGGAGACGGGGCTGGTGTGGACTTCAATACTCGTGATCGACGTGAAAATAGGACCAAGGATATTGCCATGTGGCTTGCCGACGACGACCAAGCGGCTCTTATTGAGCAAAAAGAGAAGGAGATTGCCGACAAACCTGACGAAGAGAACACGAAGAAGCGAAGCAAGAAGGCAGCAGCAGCAGCCGCTTCACGCAAGCGAAAGGGCGAGATGAGTTTGGATGACATGTATCATGAGGGTGAGTGCTTTTTCCCCGGTCTAACGTTGTTCTCTGTCGTTGGCTGACCGTGTTTCCCCTCCAGGCGAAGGACATTTCGAAGATGCTTCAGCGAAACCATCCGGCGCAGCAACGCCAGTAAGTGCGCCCGAGACGGCGGCCGGACCAAAGCGCGGGCCGCGTGGTGGCCGCGGTGTGAGCAAGAAAGCCAAAACGGCCAAACAGAGACTTGCAATTGTCGATGCTGAAGGGGATCTGGGTATGAGCGGGACATGAACCATCAGGGGCGATCTGGAACGTTTCATGGAAGACGCAGCACCAAAAAGAGGCACGAGGGATATTAATATCAAAGACAAAGGGACCCGGGTCTACTGGGGTTTTGAGATAGAATTGGACAGAGAAGCAGGGTATCGGGAGTGAATTTTTTAGCGTTTGATGGCGCCCAATGTACGATTATGGGATACTGTTTGCAACATTCGAGGGCCGTACGAGGTTACGGGATGACGAAGCGGACTGGGGCTCAGACTCATACCGGCTTTGGGGGTGGAAGAACATTGCATGGCAGGACGTGGGAGAGCGAGACGAGAGTGTTTGCTGTGGGTGAGGCGTGAGGATCATGTTCTCACGGGTGGTATTCGGGTATCAGCAGCACCTTTTCGACATGGCAATGTGTTGGGTTGGCCAAGCAAAAAGATTCATCATCAGTTTATCATTCAGAAGAACAAAGAGGGTTTGACAATCTTGACTCCTCCTGTTTTCCATGTATTTATCCGAACTCTCTGACTCGGTGGCTTCGGAGGTCGTCGCCGACGAGAATGCGGGTACGAGTAGTTTGTATATTGCTGGCGAGTGGAGGACGTCGGACAAGGACGCCTGTCTGCGGCCCTGGTGGCCCTGGACCTTTTGGAAGATAGGTTCATGAGTATGAGATACAGGTGGATTGTTTCAAGATCAACCTCTAGGGCCAGGTGGTCATGTCCGCGTCGAGGCTCCACGGAGGCGATGGGGTTGTGATGATAGCGACTGTGATGGAGGATGGGAAAGTGGAGGAGCGAGTGCCAGGAACCGCAAGGCCCCCTGTCAAGGAGAAGGAATCCGCAGATGAAAGATACGAGTATGTCCAGGATGTCCAGTACTCGTGCTTCATGCCTCGGAGGAGGTAGTAAGGAATAGTCGAGGGTGGCTGATGGTGATGGTGAGGACGAGGATGAGAATTCATCTCGCTCTCGAGCATGCACCCCCCCCGCCATTTTACTTGGTGCAATGTTTACACTGCCCGTGTCTCCCCCTTCAAATCGCCCGCGCACAACCTTGCATTAAATTATTTTCCACCCACAATCCAATCCGTCCGAGTCTCTGCCGGCCACATACGTCCTTGATAACCCCCTTGCGACGCCCTACGACGGCCCGGCGCTCGTCGAATAGATAAGCTCATGAAGCTTGTTTGTTGGTGGATCTCTTATATACAGAAATGATTCAGTATCCATCAATCAATCGCCATGGGGTAGCTAACAAGTATGATAGATATAAGTATCAGTGTCCACTGCCGCTCATGTCCTCCTCCCCTGCTATCGTTCGTGCCTTTCTTGTCTTTTTCCTTTCTTCTACCGCGATAGCCTCCAGTTGACAGGTCTTTTCGCCTGCGTCCACCACACCATGGCTCCTCGCCGCCTGTCCTCTTTGGTGGGCAGTACCAAGGATGGACCGTTTGACTCGACTATTGCGACCGAGACCCAACTGGCACAGCTGGGCTATGAGCAAGGTATGCAACCCTCTCACATGACGGAGCCTCGTTGCTGACTCCCTGGACCAAAGAACTCAAACGCTCATTCTCCCTTCTGGGCATGGTGGGATTCAGCTTTTCCATCGTCACTTGCTGGACCGCCCTGGGAGGGACTTTGATTGTGGGCATCGTCGCTGGCGGTCCTCCCGTCATGGTCTGGTCGTGGGTGGGCATTTGTCTGCTCTCCCTGACCGTCGCCTACTCGTTTGCCGAAATGTGCTCCGCCTATCCCACTGCGGGCGGCCAGTACAGCTGGGTGGCTATCCTCGCTCCGCCCAAATACGCCCGTGGTGCCGCTTTTGTCACGGGGTGGTTCATGTGTACGGGCATCGTGGCCATGGGCGCCGTCAACAACTTTGTGAGCCTCTCTGTGGTCTCGCGTCAATTCGTCGCGTCAATTCGTCATTCCTACAAAGCCTTGACTTACTAACTGTCTCCTCGACGTATTCCAACAGCTCGGCGCAAACTTCATCCTTGGAATGGCCAATCTGAACAATCCATCCTACACCATCGAGCGTTGGCATACCGTGCTGGTGACCTACCTGATAGCAACACTCGCCGCCCTCTCGAACGTCTACCTCTCCCGCTGGCTCAATCAGATCTCTACCTTTGCCGTGGCGTGGAACATTCTCAGCTTTTTTGTCGTCATCATCACCATCCTGGCCGCCAACGATCACAAACAGTCTGCCAGCTTTGTATTTTCTGATTTTCAGAATCAGACCGGTTTCTCGTCGGGCGGCATGGCTGTCATGATTGGTCTTTTACAGACATTGTTTGGTACGTCGTAGACTAGGGTGCCTTTTTTTGCTATTTTCTCCATCTTCTAACCACCCAGGCAGGTATGTGCTGCTACGATGCTCCTAGGTAAGGACTGAAAAGCCCCTTGTTATGGGTCAAATACGCTGTACGTCTTGTAGGCTAATCTTTGTGCTCTCTTTCCCAGCCACATGATCGAGGAAATGCTCAACCCGGCAAAAGAAGCACCCCAGGCCATCATCCTCTCTGTATACCTAGGTGCTGTGACCGGATTCGTGTTCCTGATCTCGGCGTTCTTCTGTATCGGCGATCTCGACGCTACGGCAACAACGCCGACAGGGGTGCCGCTGATCCAGATCTTCTTCGACAGCACAGGCAGCACTGGAGGGGCGACAACGCTCGCCTCCATGATCACTGTCATCATGCTCATCTGCTCCAACTCGCTGATGGCCGAGGGGTCGCGGGCACTCTGGGCATTTTCACGCGACCACGGTCTGCCCTTCAGCAAGCTGTGGGCCCGCGTGAACAAGAGGTCTCAAGTCCCCGTGTACAGCGTGCTGCTGTGCGGTGTGCTCCAAGCCGGGCTGAACAGCATCTACTACGCCTCCTTCGAGGGGTTCTCGACCGTCATCTCCATCGCCACCTTTGGCTTCTACCTCTCGTACGCAGCGCCGCTGTTCGTGCGGCTGTGGTCACTCGTCACACACGCCAACCCGGCCGCGACCACCATCCGCGGCGGCGTCTACACCCTCGGCCGGTGGTCGCCCTACATGAACCTAGCGGGCCTGCTGTTCCTGGTCTTTGCGGGCATCGACTTCAACTTCCCCCAAGTCGGCCCCGTCACCGCCAGCAACATGAACTACTGCAGCGCGGCCTTTGGCGTCATCGGCCTCGTCAGCATCGTCACCTGGCTCTTTGACGGGCGCGAGAACTTTACGGGACCCCAGACCCCGGGTATCGTCAATGCCATTGACGCCGCCGCCGGTGGAGGTGACGACGACAAGGGATTGACACCTGACAGAGTGGTGACTGGCGACGTTGATGTGAAGGACACAAAGGATGAGAAGCACGCCGTGACGGGTTCGCCCGGAGGGGGAAGCAATGAAACGGTGACCGTCGGAGATGTGGGCAAGATCGCATAAATCTCGAATGTGTACCTAGTCAGCCAGATAGGTAAGTAGGTGGGTAGGTGTACTCATAAGGTAATTGTCCAGAATCGGCCGGATTTGGCCAGAACTTGGCCGGGCGTAAAATTGTCGTATCATGAAATCCGCATTCAGTTAATTACACTCGTTGTATAATCCTAGATAGTTAGTATTAGACACGTGCATGGATTGGACAAGAAAATGTCTCTGCAGCTTTCTGTCTTCTGTCTTGGCCACACGTATTGAATGGAATGACATGACATGGCATGGCATGGGAAAGTGATTATGATTACACTTATGAATATAATGATTCATATATCAATGGGCTCATGACCATGGATTGGGTTCTTGAGTGTCTGTCAGTCTGTCTGTATTCTAGTCATCCGCCCTGGTACCTATGTAGTACTAGCTAGGTAGGCTTTACTCTCTGATTGAACGTTTTAATCACTAGGGCATTGTGAAATGGACAAAGCCCTTGTATGCCTGTGGCACGGACAGTGGAAGCCAGGGATGTTGACTTCACCATTTGCCATTCGCCCATACTGCCTGATCGTCCGTGTGTGCGTTACCCATTCGTTCTTCCCCCCATATTCACCTGCGTGCCTGGTCAGATGTCGCAAAACTCGATGATAGTCTTAGAAAACCATATACAGCATCCATCCCGTGCTTCCGTCGGTTGCGCTCCTCTCCTTTTTCTTCAAGTGTTGCTTCTCACTTCGGCGGATAATATGTGTCGTCCTCTCTCCTTTTTAGCGCGGGAGATAGAGCTTTGATGCACATGGTGGTTGACGGACTTCCGCTAAGGCTGGTTTCTTCGGCCGATGGACGAGCAGAGGCAGTCTCTGCACACGAGGACTACCATGGTCGACTCTCGGACGGCCTTGATTCTCGTTTTCGCCATCATCGTTGGCTAAGTCGAAGATCGACTTTCGACTGCTCAGGCCGGTCGGCACTGACACGTCTTCCGTGCCGCAGTCTTCGGCGAGCTCGAAGATGGATCCACGGCGGTGCTTCTTCTTTTTCGAGGCGTTTAGGTTTGCCTGTGTTATAGACACGCGGCGTTTGAGCTTGCCTTGTTCACGTGGTGTCGTTGCTATGTTGCAAGCCGGATTTGAGTCGTCGTCACTTTTGATATTGATCGAGCTCTGATTGTCACTTAACATATTGCCAAGGTTTCTCGGGATAACAAACTCAGATGGCACGTTGTTTGCGCTGAGCTCGCCAAAGGATTTGAAATGAGAGCCAGAAAGGCCGTCCTGGATAGCAGCCTCTGGTGAACTCGATATCGTAGAAAAGGGGAACCTCGAACGCACGCCCTCCGGGGTTTGACGATCTTTCGAGGTAGCTGTTCTCGAAAACGACTCGTTGATCCCAGAGCGAGCTGGTGTGACCGCCTTAGATTCCTTGCCAACGGAAGTCCTCTGACAGCTTCCTAAGTGTCTGTTTCGAGGAGGCTCTGAAGCAGCTCTGGGTTTCCTGGAGACGCTCGTTGTTCCTGGATCCGAGGACTGTGATGTCGGGAGCGTAGCCCCTGAAGATTTGCCTCCCACTCGCATGCGCAATGACTCTGCGGATCGTGGTGACCATTTCTTAATGGCAGATAATACTTCCTCCGACAGTCTTTCGTGTGGATCCCTTCTTGGCCATAACCCAAGATGCATGTTTCTCGGAAAAGGCTTGTAAGGCGGCTCGATTGGAGAAGGTGGTCTGGAACTGCTGCGCTTGGTCGAATCTCGAAGACCTAATGAGCTCAGCAACTTCCGAATAGACCCGCTGTCCCGAAATTCAACCACTTGAAACTTTGGGGTTCGCGGTCGCCAGTCTCTGATTGTGCGTTGATACAAATCCTCAAAGTCGTTCTTGTGCACTTCATTGGAGAACCAAGAGTGGGCGAGAGCATCTTCCGCTGTCATTCGGGCGTCCTCATCGAGCACCAAGAGCCGCTCAACGAACTCCCTCGGCCGTTGTCTCACCGCCTGCCATTCTGTTGACTGGTGAAGAAATTTCAGGTTACAATCTCGGGCCAGCTTTTCCGAATACGTGTTTGTAAGAGGATCGGAGAAAGCCAGACCCCCTGTGAGCAACACGACCGAGAGACAGCCAACCGCCCACATGTCCACAGATCGAGTATAACCCGATCTCTCGGGCTCCAGGTTGCTTCGCGCATATCCCAGTATCTCGCTAGAAGAGGGTCAGCAGATTGAACGGGAAAGATTGCATCAATACCCACGGCGCTGCGTATTCGTGTGTTCCTATAATGGACGACATTCGGTGCATCTTGCTCTCAATTCTCCGAGCTGCACCAAAATCCGTCAATATAACTCGACATCCCGCGGCCTGGCTCGACATGAGAACATTGTCGGGTTTGATATCTCGATGGACGATGTTTTTGTTGTGAAGAAAACGCAAGGCCACCAAGATCTGTCGAACGATGACAGCCGCCTCGACTTCAAGCAGCTTCCCTTTCCTCAGCTCGATGTAGGAAAATAGGTCACCGGCGCTAACGAGATCTTGCATGATGTATCTGCAAAGTCAGCTGAAACAATGTGCATCGTTAGTCTCCTTACATCGTGTTGTCAGTAATGTACACCTTTTCGATGCCGACAATGTTCGGCTGCACATCTCAAAATCAGTCACTTCCAAATTGTCTCGAGAGGGGACATTACGTGGCTAATCGAGGTAAGGATTTCCACCTCACGATAGTATGCGCATATCTTTCTCTCCAAGGCGTTCTCTCTTTTTCGCTGGTCGACCCATGCCTTGAGCTTGCGTTTTTGGGCTACGCTATCGACTTCTTCAGCTGGAGCGGGTTCCTCTGGCCGTCCAAATAGGAGCAGCGGTCGAGGGCCGAGTTTTCGTAGGTCAACAACTTTGCACGCAACCTGGCGCCGAGCTATCTGTTCAATTGCCATGTATACTCGACCAAAGGTGCCTGCGCCGAGAAGCCTGTCGGTGAGAACATAGTCTTTGCCGAATTTCTGTGTTTGTCAGTGTGCGCTTCGGAAAGGTGTACCTGTCACCGTACTGCCATTTCGGCCTCCTGTGTATGATCAAAGTTCTCTTTTGCCGCTCCACTGGAGGTGGCGCTGAAGATGAGGTATGTTTGACGGCTCAGTCGCAAGACATCATTGTCACTCAGAAGAAAGCCCCTATTGCCTTTTCCTATGAGAGATCCGTTCCAATAGGTACCATTCTGAGACAGGTCTTCTGCATAGACCAGCGTGTCAATTTCGCAAGGCTCGTCATTCTCGTAGACCACGGTATAGACTCTTAGGTGCCGCTTCGAGATGTAGGGGTCGTTGAGCACATATTGACTATTGGGTGAGTGGCTGTTCAGTAGGGTAGTTCTTGGTCCTTACCAGCGATCATTGTCACGACCAATCACAATCTCGTGGTTAGGATATATCTTCTCCCCTGCAGAAGGCTAGTATGACCACAGACGAATCAAGTACGATGACGATCTTGAACCCACTCCCCAGAATTTTGCCCTTCTGGTTTTTGTGGATGAGCATTCCGGCAGGACTCGGTTTGGAGGAACTATCCCAGGCACTGCCGACACGGCGAACAGTAGAAGACGGAAGTGTAGACATTCCCACAGCAAGGAAAGAAACAGACTTCACAAATAGAACGATGAGGTGCACTGTACCAGGTACTTAGTACTCGACGTAGCTCGGGTATGGACAGAAAGAAAGACTTGCGAGTCGAGACTGGCTTGACTCGATGGGGGGTTACAGAGTAGCGATTCGGCATCAATCCTGTCTGGCCATGATTGGCGTAGACAGCGAGGATGAGGAGGAGTGAAGTGAGGGAACCTGGTGGAACTGCGAACGTGATCGATGACCGCATTGAGAACCTTAAAGCGTTCCAAACGAGTCAAATCCGCCAAGGAAAATCTGGCAGCTGCACACAACAAAATTCCCCGCACAAGTTGCATCTCTGTTTGCTTCATCCCATCTCATCTAGCAACCTCATCCTCGAAACCAATCTGTACGTGGCCCTCCCCCCCCAAGACTCGACGAGCAGGACAATTCCATCAGAAGCACATGCTAACATACATCAGTCCACATTGAGCGAAGATGAGAGCCAAGTGGAGAAAGAAGCGAGTCCGTCGCCTTAAGCGTAAGAGGAGAAAGACCAGAGCCCGCAGGTAAGTGTCTCGATGTTGTCGTTGCTTGCGCAGAGGGGCGATGTCTAATTGTGACCTACAGCAAGTAATCGCGTCAGCTGCTCCATCGCGTCTCCTCTCTCGACCAATGTCAACGACTCTTCAACCTCTAGCTAGTTCTCGACGTTCAACTTCAGAAACCAAACTAGCCCCTCAACCACAACCAACCACGAGCTTTTGTCACCATTTTGCCATGTGGGAGAGATGCGGTCTTTGAAGAATCGGCCTTGCAAATGTCGAACTCTCACATACGTGGTGTTCGCGTAAGAGGAGTAGGAGATGGTCAAATTCCCAATGGAGCTTCATCGGCGGGTTGCTTATGATGCCTGGGGCATTCCAAAGAGGTTTCGGTTCTCAGAACACCTCGGACAAAGTACATGTGTCCCATGGCTCTCCATCTCTCAAAAATCGAGCTCTGCACCTCACAACATGTCGTCAAGTGCCGTCACTAGCGGTGGTACTCAAACAGGACTTGAGATAGTCAATACGATCAATTGAGCTCTAAATCTCTACGTGTCTCTTCCGTAGATCCTCTGCTTTGGCGCCCTCGCTTTCCAAGTGTGTAGCATTGCGAGGACCGGCCATCCTAGATCAGAGAACAACATTAACAAAAAGCACATTTCGAAGCTCGATTACAAAAACAGTATGTACCTCGTCGTGTACCAGCCAAAGTCGAGACATTTCGTCGGCCCCCTGCCAGTATCGGGAGCTTGTGCTCAAGCTCATCCTAGAATCTACCTAGTTTTCAGCGAGCAAACACATGTTCCAAACCCGACGCAAGACGAGTCGGTGAGAATGTGCGAATTATTATGTTGGTCCTCCCCGTCATAAAATGCACCTTCTGGCTTATTCGATCTTCCAGAGCTGCACCACTTTTTATTCGCTTTCAAACGGGCTTGAAGAGCTTGGAGCTTCTCATCCTTGATATATAACACGGCTATGGCTCAGGCATAAATCCGCCGCCGCATTTTTGATTCAACGACGATGAAAAGAAACATACCTTGGCGTGGACGCAGTTGACTACCACCGGAGTAGAAATCCGAGTCGAGTCCACAAAGCACGTAGAAGGTAACTCAATCGACAGCTCAGACATTACAGCTATCGAATGGCCACGGTGTCTTTGCGTACAGCAAGATTGCAGCACAATACAAGCGTCAATATAAAGACAGCTGCCACCCACAAATGCCTGTTCGTGCCGGAGCTACAACGCTTCCAGGTGGATTCCAAGCAACCTCTGGAAATCAACAGCATTTGACAAGCTATAGCAAGAACGCCAGTGCCGCCGTGGCATATGCCTCGGTCCCGACCGAAAGGGTGGGCTGTATCACAGGCGCAAAGTAGGAGCTGTGATTCCCTAGTATTTGTGTCAGAAAGGTTCATTGTTCTGTGTCAGGGCTTGACTGGGAAGTACCAGGAATGTCTTCCAACTTTCCATCCTGCGCTGCATCATCCCACTGTTGAGCATCGATACCGCCATAGTTCCAGAAGACGCTTGGAATCGACAGAGGAGATGTTAGGTTGGCGAAATCTTCGCTGCCGGTGGAGATGGTCGCATCTGTGCCAAACTCGCCGCGAAAGTGGTTCTTCATGGCTTCCGAGACAATGTCAGTGGCGGCCTCGTCGTTGTAGAGCAATGGAAATGATCCAATGTGCTCGATGCGCGGCGGCTTTGGGCTCCCAAAGGCTCTGCACTCGGCATCGACGATGCGTCTGACGGCTTCTATCACTTTATGCCTAGTCTGTAAGCTAAAAGTCCGGATGTTGATTTGCAGTTCAGCCTCGTCGCTGATGATATTCGCCGCCGACCCTGCATGTAGGGAACCGACTGTGACCACCACGGTTTCCCGCGGGTCGGTCTCGCGGCTTACGATTGTCTGGAGCTTCATCACCGTGCTGCTCGCCAAAACTACAGGGTCGACGGCATGGTGTGGGCGACTTCCATGGCCACCACGTCCATAAAGAGTCACCAGGAAGCTGTCGGCTGCGCTGCCCATGACTCCGCTCCGAGTCTTGATCATACCCGTCCTCATTGGCATCACATGCCCGCCCAGAGCCACGTGTGGTATTGGGATATGATGTCGGTTGACGTCAAACAGGCCGTCGTCGACCATGGCCTGCGCACCTGCGCCTCGTTCCTCGTTGGGTTGAAATAGCGCAATAACTGTACCACCCCAAGCGTGGCGGCCCTTGTGAAGAAGTTCCGAGGCGGCAAGAAGAGCTGCCATGTGCAAGTCGTGGCCGCAAGCATGCATGACAGGCTTCACGACATTATCGGAGAGGTCGAGAACTGTCTTGGAACTCGCAAATTCAAGGCCTGTCCGCTCTAGGACAGGCAGTGCATCCAACTCTGCCCGCAAAAGAACAGTCTTGCCTGGCCCGTTCTCGAGGACGCCGACAACACCGTACCCGCCGATGTGCGTGCGTACGTCAAACCCATCCAATTTTCTGAGGCGGGCTGCGACGACCTCCGCAGTCTTCTCTTCTTGAACTGACAGCTCGGGATTTGCATGCAGTGTCCGGTACAGGTGTTGGTAGGGGCCCAAGTCGGGGAGGTATTGGGCGATCAACCTGGAGATCCTGGAGGGCTCTGCGTGCTGCTGCTCCGCCGCCATTTTTGTTGACCTGGAAGCATAGAGCTACGGACTATCGAGGGACAGAGGTTGTTGCGATGGTCAAAGGACCTTTTGTGACCCAATTACCCCACACTGTTACCACTAATCCAGAATAGGAAGGATGTCTTTTCACAACGTTACACAGACTTTGCCAAGCCATGTGACTCTCCCTCTGCGTGCCCTTGTGCCACATTGAGTTCAATTCAGACTGCGACATGCATTGTTCGTTCGGAAATGAGACGGCCATTTGCTAGCATCTTTGCAGACTCGAGTTTCTACCGCACCGCAGTTCGATCCCTAGTCGTCACTCCCCCCAAACATGGCCGATTCTCTCACCTATCCCAAGACCAAGAGTACCACGGTCAATCGCTATCACACCAGAGGTAAGAGCACGATCCTTCCCAACAGAGATTGTCACTTGGCGGGGGTACTGATTCCACGTTTGTTGTGTGCAGCGACATACGATGTCCAGGCCATCCACTCGATCGTCAACGACAGCTCGGTGCTCCATGTCTCGTTCGCCCCCGACGCTGAAGATCCATTCCCGGCCATTCTGCCCATGATCGGGACCATGGGGTCCTACGAGTACCCGAGCGCGGGCCTCGACGAGCCCCTGGACTGCTACCTGCACGGCTACGTCAGCTCGCGCATCATGAGGCTGGCGACGTCCTCGCCCCAGGGCCTCCCCGTCAGCATCGCCGCCACAAAGGTCGACGGACTGGTCCTGGCCCTTACCCCCAACGCCCACAGCTACAACTACCGCAGCGCGATCCTGCACGGCTACGCCAGGATTGTGGAGTCGGCGGAAGAGAAAGTCTGGGCCATGGAACTCATCACCAACTCGGTCGTCCCCGACCGCTGGAGGCACTCCCGCGTCCCACCGGACAGCGCGGAGATGCAGTCGACGAAAATCCTCAAGGTCAAGGTCACCGCGGCGAGCGGCAAGACCAGGGAGGGCGGACCGCACGACGAGGCCAAGGACACGACTCGCGACGACGTGACTGGAAAAACCTGGGTGGGAGTGGTTCCCGTGGTGGAGAAGTTTTGCGGACCGATCGCAGGCCCGGAGAACAAAGTCGCCGAACTCCCCAAGTACATTGCAGACTACGTCGGGGAGGCCAATGCAAAGGCCGAGGCGTACGCGTTGAATGCAGCTCGGCTGCCTTGAAGGCGAGCCTCAATCAACGGAAGAGCCAGGACATTCGTCACATTCAACGTGTTGGCCATGGGAGACGGGTTCTAGAGAGTAGAGGTGGCAGCATGCCCTGCCCAGCGACGTTGACCGTGACCTTTGATGATAGAAATACAGAAACCTGAGTGCGTTGAGATACAAGATCCCAGCCCAGTCTACATACTGTTTTCTTTCCTGATAGCTTGATTTCACGCACCAGTAGAAGACGGAAATGATCCCAGGGATGAATACTTTCAAAGGGTAATGGAGCGTCATAGGCGTCGAGCATGAACGACGAGTATCTATCACGTAGACTCGATTGGACAAATCCTTGTCATTCATTCACCTCCTTCCATTTTCATTATTGTGTAGATTAGAAAAGATCCCCATCTATCATCTCCCATCCCCCGTCTTCCCTTCCCCTTTCCCATTCCCATTTCCCATTCCCATTTCCCATTTTCCACTCTACTCATTTTCATGCTCATCATCATCACCAACTCTCCCCCACCATCCTCCCCCCCAACAATTCCATTCCCTCTCTCAAGTCCATCAAGATTCTTCGGGATACCCCAACCGATCCGCAGCCCGCCACGCCCGACTCCCCCGATACGCCGCGCGGACGGGCGCCAGGATCTGATTGAGCGCGGCGGCGACGGCGGCGACAATGTCGTCCGCGCGGAGGGTCTGGGTGGTGAGGTCGTGCATGATCTGCTCGAAAGTGGCGTAGTGTCGATGATCTCGACCATCACTGTCACCGTCACTCTCTCGGTCGGGCTTGGGCGTGGGGGGAAAGGTGAAGACCGTGCCGGCGGGGGAGGAGGGCGTCCAGAACGGGTAGGACAGGGAGAGAGTTGGTTGTACAAGGCCATGATCAGCATCGTCATTGCTGGCAGTGGTAGTGGTGGTAGTAGTAGTAGTCGGAAGAGAGGAGAGAGGAGTATCATGGGTAGGAGTGTCTCCGACACGCTCTACAGAAGCAGTCCCCCCCACCCACCGCTCCATCTGCAACTGGCTCAAAGGGATGAGGACGTCCCTCAGCGTGGCCAGGACGCCGTTCCTCGACACCTCGTCGCTCGACAGGTACCCCGCCCGCACTTTTTCCTCGACGGTGGCTTCGTCGTCGAGGAACATGATCTTGGTGTGCGGCGGGTGCGACGACGACATCTTGTCCCCGTACAGGTTCGGGAGCATCGGGTTCATCAGGTGTGCGCGGTTTCGGTACCCGAGCTGGGGGAGGAAGCGTTCGGCGAACTCGAAGATGCCGCGCTGTTGTTTGACAGCGAGATCAGAGTCGGAATGTCAGCGTTCAGACTCGTTATCAAGGAAGGGTCAGGGATTCTATTGTATCGTGGACTTTCTTCTGGGAAGGGAGGATGAAACGTGGACGCGTTACCTGATCTGTCCCTCCAAATTGAAAGTCAATGTCCAGATGCTCCTCAGCCAGTGTCTGTAGACCGGGACACAACATCGGCGCCAGCATGTCTGGGTTGTAGCTCCGGTCCCAGGCATCCCGTACTGCCTGCTGCGGCACGAGGGTGCAAAGCCTGCACTGGTCGAAGAAGAACCTCGGGTTGATCTGGTACGAGGATTCGGCGATGAACTTGATGTTCTTGGAGGGGATTCCCAAGGCTTCCAGCGCGGCTTCGACGGTGAATCGGTAGTAGTGCATGCGTTGGACCACCTGTTCCATGGGATACTTGACATTGTCGAGGAAAGAGTAGACATCGAGAAGGACCACGATGATCTTTGATCTCGGGTCAGTATTCTCAACATAGAAACCTCGGGGGGATGGGAGTTCTCACCTCGACCCCTGCACGCAAGAAATCTGCAAATTTCAACAGTGGGATTAGATACCCGATGTGTGCTAGAGAAGGCTTCTGATCAGTCGTCTCTTCTTCGACGTCGCTGCTGCTATTTGCATAGACTCACGCTTCCCCGTAGGCGAGGTGACTGTTCTCTCAATAGATTAGAATCTCTCCAACGACAAGCCGGGTCGAGATACTGACCCCATAGCCCAACTGGCTTTTTACCCTCCCTCGCAAGAGCTGTGTGGATGATATCGGCACCATGGATGTTCTCTTCTGGGATTCTCCTTGTGATCAACTGGAAGTTTTCGTCGAGCTGTCGACGAGTTGCCATGTTCACGGCTTGCAGATGGCAAAGATGGCAAAGAGCTGTCAAGAGACGGAGAATCTGCTTCGCTAGGTGCGGGCTTGATGAGACCGTCGATCTCTGTAAGCTTTGAAATCTGCCTCTTTATTCAATATCCCACTCGTCAGGAGTCACCCTGGCTCGATGATCACTCTTTCGACAACATGCATCTAGCGAACAGAACGACGAATGCAATAACGTGCCCAAACATCAGAGCCCGAGTGGAAGCGTCCGAACGCCTTGCTGAAACTAGTGTGTAACTCTCACAGCTGCAAAGAAATAGCTGTAGAGCAACGAGGTGGAGATGCGTCGTGGGTGGAAGGCTAGTGAGCACAGTCTGTGGTGGCTGGGTGTCGTCCGTATCTGCAGCATATCCGCACTTAAGCGCTTTGGAGAGAAGGGACCATGCGAACTGGTTGGTACTCCCAGTCCCAGATTGAAAACATGCTGTGTGACCAAGACAAACAGCCCACCCACGTTAGAGGTTGGAAGTCGACCTGAAAGACCGAGACCTCGATCCCGGCCTGGCTGCAGATGGACGCTATGACTCTGCCGTTTTCTGCCATGTCGGCGCCTCACTGTCAATTTCCAGGGAGGCATCACCAAAGTCCTCCAAGATGGCCGCACAGAGTTTCTTGTAGACAGCAATGTCCCATACTATGGGCTCCCTTTTCTTCAACATCAGACCTTGTTGTGGAATAGCATCGCCATGTCTGATACGACGCCGTGTTCGGGTCTCAAGTTGTCGAGAATACCGTTCAGCCCAATTCTGGATGGTTGCATTGTCACACCATAAATCGTTCAGAGGCCCCCCCAAAACAGTAATGACCGCTTTGGTAGCAACCGGCAGGAGATTGAACGGCTGTAGCAGGAGGATGCAATTGAGTGGGCCTCTTTCAAGATCGTCTTCGTTGACATGCAGAGGCGGCGTCATACGTGGCATGGTGCCATCGCATCGGATGTCTACTCGAGGTATACGAGCCACCCTCCCGAGTGACTTGCAGAGCGCAACCAAGCCATCCCACAGTTCGGGGATACGTTCGGGATATTGGAACGGGTTGATGTCGAATCGGAGCCGGGTTTTGGCAAGGTCCACGCCGTGCAAGCAGGGCACGTTGGACTCGATGTGGCCCGTGTCGTGAACGGCGGAGAAGCGTAGTTCTTGGTTGCACAACAGTTCTCGAACCTCGCGGTGTATCTGGTGGTTACACAGCATGATCCGCATTGGGCAGCAATGCTGACTGTCTTGAGGGGTAAGCCGGACATCCAGGTAGCCTCGGCCTGGAGCAAGAAGTGCGTAGGAGTAGATCACATTGCGTATTTCGGTAGGCAGCTGAAGAAAACGCGCAGCTCTGGGCTGGGGTGATGGAGCGTTGTCCTGTGCCATGGTGGTATCACCGAGAACTCATCGTCAGGCACTGCAGATGCATCGTCGCCTTTTGGGCGTCTTGAGGTGGAGCTGCACGTATTATGACATGTGTCTCTGATGTTGGTTGTCGTTGCCCAGAGGACGAAAAAGCAGAAAGGGTCGGACAGGGCCTTATGAATAGTAGTCGCCCACCTTGTATGTATAGGGAACTGGTGGGGTGGTTGGGCGCACAGAGTGGCACTTGATTGGTGTGGACTATCCACGTACCGCTGCCAATACTGCCAAGCATTGTAATGACGGCGGTAACTGGTCAGCCATAACTCTGAGCAGATGTCGTGAGACGTCGCCTGGTCGCCTCGGAACATGTTCGTCTTCAAGCATGTGCTTCTTGTCGAGTGCGGGGAGAGAGATGGCAAAAGGGGACTCTGTAACTTTGTCGACGGCACGCCTCAATACGCCTTCGGGTCTACGGAGTAAGTGACCCTATTTCTGGCACCACTTCCAAGAGAAGGAGAGAGGGAGAGGGGGAAGCACTGATCAGCAACCGGAACATGCATTTAGATGCTTGCTATGTGATTCTGTCCGTCCTGTCGTGGTGGTACTTGTCAAGGATGTTGCGCTATATGTGCCTTAGGGAGAACTGTCATGCCATCAGGACACTCGGCACGTAGCTCAATCCCCTCTATTCCATCCACCTCTCCCGCAGAGCATGCTCAGGTCTGAGAAAGTACGAAATGTAATACCGATCAGCCGCCCCATCTCCAACCTGGGTCACACGGTGTCGGGGAGAACGCAGCTGATGTTGCGACAGCCGCTGCAGCGAATCTGCCACGTTGAAGAGGGCACAGTCCGGCATGGGAGCTGGGAATGTCCATTCACCACCTCCCGGTTGCTCCGCTTCGAGACCCCATCGATCGTAGAACAACATGGTCAGCGTGCCACTGTCGGTGTGCACATTGTCTCCAACTTGGCTAAGTTTGTCCAGAGTAGGCTCTGATATGAGCTTTAAGCCCGAGTCGCTGGTTTCTCCTTGGCGGTGGTTCGATTCAAACCTCTGGTCGTCCAGCAACCCAAGAACATCGGAGAAGGAAGACAACACCACGAGGCAAGTAGAGTGGCAGAGCCGGGAGAAAGAGTCCACAAGTCCATCGTCTTCTTCCATCAGTTCAGGAAGCGGACAGGTCTTCTGGACGACTTCGTCGTAAGCCATCTGGAGAATTGGTCAGCGCTCACCCAACCTTCTAGACGGAAAAGAGGTTGGCATAGTTACCTCAAAAGTCTCATCGCAACTGCTCGTTTTGTAGCTAGGATAGATCAGTCGGTCAACCTTCGCTGAAGCCTCTGTTCACCACCTACCCACGGTCTTGCGATGGATTCTGCCCAGCCCTGTAGATTTTCATCTTCTCCTCGCTCGGCTGGTGAAAGAAGTCGCTTGAGATGCGGTAGATGTCTGGCAACATCCCCGCAATCTGCCTCCCGGTAGCATCATTTTCAAGGTTGAGGTAGAAGAAACCAGAGGTTCGCGCAGAATTGAACAATTTTTCCAGTTCAGTCGTCTCGTGCGCGCGTAAGCCTGCCAGGTCTATGACCTCAAGTTGGGCAATCCTAGTAGGCACGTCGCTCATTTTGAATGCTGTGATTAGAAACGCGTTTCCTTGTATAGATCAAGAGATGGGAGTAAAAGCATCGACTGACTCTGAGCCCGAAGGAATGACGGGAATTTGAGCGATCACCTACATAGCCTTCGTGAATGACTCCGGCCTCACCATCTTCTGCCATCAAACCAATTGCCGCTCGTGCAGAACCAGGATTTCTCTCGTGCCTCCAATAGATTTCTGCCACAGCACTTTTGGTGGTATCTTGTAGGGCGTTCTGATCTGCAGATTCGGGCTGTCTGGACGTTACACATTGTCTTCAGGTCTAGATGTTCAGGCGCTGCCATCTTCGGTAGCACAGCGACTAAACTAATGCCGTGTCTCTGTAGTCTGCAACCATCATGCCATGACATGTGAGAATGAGTCAGTGTTCAACTCCTGGCTTGAGGGTTCTTGAGCAACATCAGCAGGTCAGAGCTGCAGAGGAACAAAACGAGTTTCTTTTTTCGGCTTCTCCCAGCTTGAGGCCATGTGAAAATCAGAACTGGAGCATCTTCTCACCTGGAGATTGCATGCAGTGCACCAGCAACGTGGGGGAGTGTGTTGCACAAGACTTGCTCATCTGTGTTCGATCACATATCGTCTCATGTAAGAGATTCCGGGGTAATTGGGGCAACGCAAGGATTGCGAGGTCCTCCCAATCAAAGACAACGAAGTCGTAGTGTCGGATCTGCGAGTCGCCGAAGTGGGAACAAAGCGATATCAGCTCTGCACGGTTCTTTGGTCGCACGGCTGGCTGCACAACGAGCCTCTGTCACGCGAACTTCCCTTCTCTTTGCACCAACGCCTTGTTCCACGGGTTTTGCTCTCGTTTCACTGACGTGACCAACTGACGTGGCACCTGCAGAGGACAATGTCCCGCCGACTCGAGGACAGAATCCAGATTTTTGCCCAGTCATTTTCCCGGGCTTTTGGTGATCGCTTCAATGGACAGGTTGCCATGACGTCCGAAGCAGAGGCCGAGGGAGACAACCAGGGCGAGGCTCGACCTCCGGGTGGGTACAAGCGATCTCGGTCCAGATTCTAGAAAGGCCTGTGCAAAGCCATTCTTTGCATCGGTCGTTCTGAGAACACGGTGAGCCTCATATCACTTCCCACACACATCGATCTACTTGGTCTGATCTTGCTCATCCAAGTAGCCGATGGAACAGCCCACACAGATTTGGGTATTGGGATTCGGAATCACCTTGATACTGCTGGCTTATCTCTATTACATCGCGATAGTTTCAGTCGTCCACGTCGAACCATATCCACGACAATCCGATGGCGCTTCAACATCACATGTTCTTGCTCTTCGGGCTATGAAACGTCTGTACCATCGGCTACACCACCCCGAAGAGTTTGCTCACGTTAGACCGTTGGCACGTCAGTGCTTGGATTCGCTTCTCGCCCAGACGAATCGTTTGGCCGGGCAGCACTGGGACCAAAATCGATCCCACAAGGTAAAAAGCAGCATTTATTGTCTTCGGGAGTTCTCAAGGAAAGACTTACAAAGTTTCTTGGAGGCAACAAACACCGAGATCCAAGATGAATGGGAGAGATATATCGACGCAAGGAAAGCAGGGCATCCACGAGAATTATTCCAGACTGCGGACGAGGCAAGTCGATGGATCGAACAGATCAGCCCCGTAAAGCTCGTTGATGGAGCATGGCTTGGTCATCTTCGGCTCAACCACATGCCCTTCTCACTCCACTCGGTCCTCAAAGACCTTTGGCAAATTCTTTCGGAAGAGCTGGGCGATGGAGATTTGGCAAAGAACCATGTCCACGTCTTCAAGGAATTGCTCCGGAGCGTTGATTCCAAGCTTCCCGACGCCGACCACGAAGATTTCATATCTTCCAAAAACTCGACGGACGATTTGTCGATTTGGAACTCTGCACTTGCGCAGCTTACCGTTTCCCTGTTCCCTGAAGATCACATTCCCGAGATTCTCGGGTTCAATCTTCATTTCGAGCTTGTGACATTGGAGACACTGAAAGCGACCAAAGAGCTGAAGGAAGTAGGTCTCGATCCATCCTACTTCTTGCTGCATGTATGCATCGACAATACAGACTCTGGCCATTCAGCCATTGCTTTCCGAGCAGTCTGCAATTTCATGGAACATATTCGAGAGACCGAAGGACTCGCGGCTGCTGGACGCTACTGGGAGCGTATCCAGAACGGCTTTTGCTTGTCACAGTTCTCAACCAAGCTAGATGTTCCCATAGACACCTTCTCCCCGGACGATCGGGAGGTAGGGATCGTCAGCCTTCTGACCAGCAAAGTCCGAGCTTCCAGAAAGGTCCATTGCAATAGCCCTGCTCGCATCAAAGGCCAATTGATCGGGAAATGGCTGGATTCCGAAAAGTGGGACTGTCCGAACTGGCGAGTTGACTTCTTGGAGGCTTTCACTCACGCTGAACAGTGGATATGTCCAGGCGACAGCAGCCACAGCGGATTCATCCAGCTCATTTCTCCAGGGGGCAAGATGTTTGGATCATTCACTTCGGACGAGCGAGAGGTTTTGAAAGAGTGGATTGACAAATTGTCGCCCCATGATGTTGCGAAGAGAGAATCCGTTCGGAATGAGCCAAAATGGCTGTTTTCCCGGCGGCGGCATCTAGAAATAGATGTGGCGTTGTCGGAGAAGACATGCTTGACCGACAACATTGTCTTCGAGAGGGCTATCCCGCTTTGGTTTGCAGCGTGCTGTCTTCTGGAGGGATTCGTGGCGATTCCAATAAAGGCCGCCGCCCAGCTCTCGCTGAGCGTGTTGAAAGTCCTGCGAGTTCAGAAAGGATTCCAAGACGGCCTTGGACATGATATTTCATCAACAAATGCGGCGGCAGAGCGAGAGGCTTCCCATGATCTGGTCACTATAGGGCTCACGATGGTAAGATCTGCCGGATTCAGTGCCGCGTCTTCTATCGGCGAGGTTCTTGAGAGGTGGCCGCTAGATTTCTCGTCAAAGATGCTTGAGCTGTCACAGAGACCGGAAGAGAACAAGGCGGTTCTCATTGGGATGGCCATGGCTTTTGCCAAGTTTCACGCTCAATTGAGTTCTTCTGGACTTCTGAATCGAAGTTGCAGCGAGGCGCTTCGGATGATTGTCGAAGGCGAGACACATCATCTGGGGAGTTGCTGGCAACTTTTGGCAGAAGAGGAAGGATGTAAATATCAACTCGAGGCCGGCTATGACATGGCGCGCACCGAGATTCGCAGGGGCTTCAAGTAGCGTCGACGGCTTGACGGGTGGAATTGTGGTAGCGTGTCAGAAATACATATCATTGACTTTCATTGGGCGTTCTTTCCCTATCGTTGGACTTTCCTCTTTGGTCTCTAGTCTCAAACACCCCACTTGTTGAGCCGGTGCCGAGACGCTATGTATCACGTGTTTATATTTAGTGCACTTCCATGATTAAAGCAGCGGTGTTTAGTCGGAAGACTTGCTGAGTCACCAGGTGGTGAACGGCAGATGCGGCCGCCCGATGCCCCTTCATTGGTCACTTCTCTCGGTACAGTCATCACGACAAAAAACCTTCGCAACGCCAAAGAAGCCACTTTTGCCATTGGCATCAAACCCCTTCCCTTTACAGGAAACCTCTGCCTTGTCCATCTGTCACAGAAGATACAGGGGCCCTCTACTCCGTATGCTGCAGGGTCCCGATCTCCCAAAAGGATCCGAATTCTGAATGGCGTCTTCTGGTGACAAGCTAAACCCTGAACCCCGCCCGAAACCGCCGAAACCGCCACTGGTCTTCCGCAACCATATTCTTCCAACTTGGCGTGCCACGGCCGCACCTCCGAAAGGCTCGCAGGTAGGGCGTCTACCCTGTCCTTTTAGCGAAGTGGGAAGCTTCATTTCGTCTAGATCCTAACCGAAGCCCCCCCCCCAGAAACCCCGTGTCCAAACCCAGAAAAGGGTCCCAAAGCGGCGTAAGCCAAAGAAACCCGCGATGTCAGGATTGGATCTCAAGAGGAAGTCGCCTGCGTCTGTGGAAACGCAAAGGCAGACCCCGCCAATCCGGGAGATTGGCGAAGTCCTGGATCCCTTCTGCAAGTTACCGGTGGACGTGTCTGCAGACGGTCGTCGACTACTTCATTTCTGTCTGTTGACCCGGTCGCAGCCATTTACAAGTACTCTATATAGGGCATTGCCAAGGCTAACATGTTATCACTAGATGTCACTACGGTTTCAAGCGCCATCTACGGAACCAATCGCAACCCGGATTTCAGCCCAGTTCGAGATATTAGTTTCGTCGCGGCGTTGACATCCCCTTATACCTTGCAGTGGATGGTTATCTCGGCCGAGGCTTTGCTCACGCGCTACAGAGGCGGGCCCGAACCACTGTCTCTCTTTCGTCGAAAGGCCACTGCGTACCTCTCGCTCAAAAAATACCTCGAAAACTTTACCAAAGAAAAGGTAAACGATGGATTCGTCAATGGCCTCATTATGGCTATTATTGCAGAGTCGCGGATGGCAGGCCCCGAGGCCTCGAATGTACACCTCAGGGCATATGAAGCTGTCCTCAAGACGGGGGGCGGCCTGAGGAAAGTGATCGCTGCTTCCTCGAGACCATTCGACCAGATGAGCAATTTTATGCCCTATCTAATATGTCCGCCCCTGCCCGCTGCTATGGTCTTCTCCGAAGAGTTCGAAGACCAAGCGATGGGTCTCCTCCAGACCATTGTAAAAGGGGAGAATTTGGTCGATCCTGTCGACTTGATCTTCAAAGCATCACACGTAATCGCACGACCCCAAGTCTTGTTCTTCTCCTTACAAGGATCTCTACCGAAGCAGATCCGCCGTCTACTAGTGTACAGCGTGATTGCACCGTACCTGCGGCTTGACAACTGGGAACAGCGCCAATACGCCCAGAAATCGGCCCACTTCATTTCTCTCTTTCTGCTGGTATCGACGTTTTGGGGCCAGCGGCTTGATGAAAAATCCCAGATGGCATTTATTAGCGGCTTGTACCGTGTGTTTATGAACAGCGCCACTCCAACCAAGACGGGTCTCCGCTTGCTGACCATTGATGGATTCTTTTGGGTTGTGGTCAAGGCGTGCTTTGACGTGCAAACCAATACGAGTGATAGGCAGGTGGCGTTGAAGAACTACATCAATTTTCTGGCCGATGCTATCTCTGCCATGAAGCTTTTCAGGGTCAGTTGTGACGCTGTCAGGAAAAAGATGACCGATTACCTCTACCAGTGCCTTACGGAGGAGAATGGGTCGCCAGGCTGAAGAACTGCTCAACAACTAAGCAATGTGTCACAACCGGGCTTGTTGAGTAATCTGTGGTCACTTCAATTCGCGAGGATCCACAGCAGTCAGCTTTCGCGCTCCGATCGCACCTCTGCCCACAGCATGGCCATTTCTACTGGAGTCTACTCTGGACGTGACGATACAGAAGCCACGCAGTCTCGCAAAGCACTGTTGTAGCTCGGCGCACTTCGTGCTTACTTGGCGAGGTAGGGAGAAATGACCTCGCTCATTGTACGAGGGATCGGCATGGAGCCACAGCCGCAAGCTCCCCCACCGCCTCACCGGCGACACACCTGCAGTGGAAGGACAGTACAGCGCCTCTCAGGACTGGCGAGACACGACCTCAGGTGTGCTAGCGGGCTCCGATATTGTCAACAATCCAAGAGAGGGACGCAACCAGTCAATGGCCATCTTACTACGACTGAGGATATTGAAAGAATAACTACAAGAACCAGTGGTGTCGGGAGACCACAAGCTGGCGGCTACGTTCAGTCGCAGAGTGTGGAAAAAGTCATGATTCATTATGAATACCATGTGATCAGAACAACGATGCCAGGCGCTCCGCCAGTACAGATTGTCCAAGCTTGGTGGCGGTCAAAGATACGGTGTCAAACAAGAAGCCAAAACGGTCTCCGGGCCTTGTTATGTATCGGGTCAAAACCGCCACATATTCTCCAAAGAGATCGCTGCGATTCCTTGGAACGATCCGCGAGTCGAGGAAAGCCCTCCACTACTGTTTGTCCAGCGACATTCCCGCAAAGCTCGAAGTCCATGGAGATCGATCGTCTATATTTACTCCATGGACCACCCTTTCCCGCGATCTGCAGTCACATGGCATTCGACGAGTGGTCCATGGTCTGAATGTACAAGAAAGCATTCAGCCGTTGATGATTTGGCTGTGTAAGTGAGAGTTGTGAAGCAGTAGATTAAGCTCAGTGACGGCTTTGGAGATATCATTTCCCATGGAAGTGATAGGTTGAGGCACACCATCCAAGCATACTCCAAGGCTTCTATTCAATCGCAGCATCAACTTACGAGGGAAAAAGAGCACAGTCTTGAACGAAGAAGTACCTCATACCTCTCGTGTCCTGGGTACGTGCTAGTATTTACGTTTCTCGGCATGTTAGCCCCACTTCCGATTTTAGAGGTGAATACGGCACTAGTCTAAACTATAACCCCCGAGGGCCCCGGCTAAGTTTCCTTGCGCTCACAATTTTTTGAACAATTTCGTTGCAACAACTTTTGGTGGGACACTTTTAGGTGTTCGACCTCAATCGCAATCTAGAAGCCCACAGTCCTTGGTCTTTGTGTACCTGAGTCGAAACGCAAACATGGCGGAGAAGAAGAGAAAGGCAAGCTCCATCGAGGGCGAACGGCCGTCCAAGAAACCCCAGACCAGCACCATCAAGGTCATCCACCTGAGCGGGCCGGACGTCGCCAAACCTCTGGTCGGTACGGCAATTGGGAACACAGATCCTGGATTTTCCCCCGACACTCCCAATCTCGTTCTCTGTGTTGGGTGAGCTAATGACTTTGAGTTGCTCCAGCTTCGGCGCCCGGCGTCACACTTCCCTCGGACCTCAGCTTTGTCGGGTTCTCGAAAAAGGAACTCTCCGGAAGGTCCAGCGTTCTCCTCCAGTCCTCGGAGCACCCTACCATAGACTACGTCGCGACCGAGAGCAGCACGACCGACGCGGCCGAAAAGCACGTCAGACACTTCATCGCCGTCTTCGACCCTGCGTCCAACAAGCTCAAGGTGGTGGAAGCCAAAAAGGTGACGGTGAGGAGCACGGTGCGCCAGCTGGACAGGGAGAGTGATGACGAGGACGCCGACGGAGAGACCAGGCCGCTGGCGACGCCGTCTCGCGCGGCGTTGACGCAGGCGTTCGGGACGAAAAAGTCAAAGAGAGCCGTGGCCTCGACGGCAGAGAACCGCCTGCTGGCCCGTGACGGGGAGAACGGAGACGACGCCATGTCGCAGGCCATCCTCTCGTCAATCAAGGAGGACGACGAGGACGACCCGACCGTCGCGCTCGACGCGGGAGCTTCCGCTCGAGCCAACAAGCCGCTCCCACCCGCCAACCTGGACACAACCGACATCACCCAGGTCTACGACCTCTCGTCGCTCGTCTTCCCAGGACCTTACCGCACGGCACTGTCCCAGATGCCGATCGCGTACTGGAAAGAATGCGCCAAGAACAAGAAACCCGTGTCGACGCACCTGCGGTTCGTGGCCACGCGGATCGGATACCTGAGCCAGCGACACCTCAAGCAGCCCGACCACCCGGACGTGCTGCTCCGGCTACAGATCCTGCGGTACATCCAGCTCCTGGTGGAGATCCACAAGTACGTGTCGCACCTGTCGCCGCGACGACCGATGGCGCCGCCCGAGGACTGGCCCGCGGGCACGACGACGGACAGCTCGCTGTCGACGGCGTTCAAGGGCCGGCTGGTGGCGCACTTCTTCCCCAACCGCACGCCCAGCGCCTTCAACAAGACGCTCCTCACGGCCACCATCCTGGCCCTGACCCTGCACGTGCCCCCGCCCAACTTCACGCTGGGCGAGACCCCGCGCCTGCTCTTCACCGAGCCCACCGACATCACCCTCGACCTGGCCATGCCGCACGCCGAGGTCCACAAGCTCTACCGCGAACTGGGCTGCAAGATGGAATCCATGACCGACGCCGAACTGCAGCGCCACGGTTGGGACAAGGTCTCTGCTTCTTCTACGAAAGGCGGTGCAGCTGATGTCGTCGACGACTCCGGCAAGCCCGTCAAGCTGCCCAAACCGAAATTCGCTAAACTGCGCTTCCCCATCGAATTCCCCCGCGTCAGTGCCGGACGTCCGAGCAGGAGGTAGACCTCAGGACGAGTGGACTTGTTTTGTGTTGATTGTACCTGGTAGCTAATTGTCTTGCGATTGCGCGCAATGTTTCACGAGAGTTGCTTGAAGTACAAACCTCCATCCAAGCGTATGTGCATACCTAGTAGGATTAATGAGTGAATATCACGTTCTCACGTGCGACAAAGGAGATACAGAAGCAGTACATTGGTAAAAGAAGCGGTGCTGCTCGGCAGAGAATCCAAGTGTATACGTTGTTGTCGATCAAAGGATTGACACGGCGGAATGGCTGACCATACCTAGAAAAGAAAACAGATAGGAATCTTAAAAGTCGGCAAAGACTATGCCAGCCAGAAAAGTAATGGTGTAGAAAAGTCACAAATGGCCATGCATATGGCGATTGTAGATTTTTCCGTCTCATCGGAACACAAGCATGGCTTTGTATAGTCACGCTAGTGCCCGATGGAAAGATGTCTGTATATATAATATATGGCTGAAGAGCCGGACATTTGCTCCCAGTGCCCCTTGGAAGAGGCAAAAAGAGCAAAGACATTCGAAATATCAAAACGAGTTCGTGCCTCCTTTCTTTTGCACATCCACCATTCATCGTCACTTTCCTTCTCGTTTCACATCACATTCCCTATCATGCGGCGAGCACTTGTCTGTCTCCCATCTGACTGACCGGGATACAGAAAAAGCTCAAGCCGCAGCTGCCGCAATAGGTAGAGCTCTTTCCTCGGCGGCCTCCTTGATCAAGGCTTCGGCAGCCGGGGACTGTGCGGCATGCTCAAGCTGCGCATCAGTCCACAAGGACTGCACTGGTTCGGCATCCTTGACGCCCACGCCCACAAAACCGCCCTGGGCCTCCCAGTCCTTGACGCGCTTGATGTTCAAGCGGGTCCAGACGTTCTCCAGCGCGTCGATGAGCTCGGCGCGCAACTCGGGAGTATGGCCTGGCGTGGGCGTGATGCGGAGTCTCTCTTCACCGCGAGGAACAGTCGGGTAATTGATGGACTGGACGTAAATGTCGTGGTCATTGAGTAGCATGTCGGAGGCTTTCTTCGCAGTTTCGGCGTCACCGACCAAGAGCGGGACGATGTGCGATGGATTTGGGATGACCGGAATACCTCTCGCGGTGAGATCATCTTTGAGAGCACGGGTGTGAAGTTGTTGGAGGCGACGGTCTCCTTGATAGACAGCCTGGTATTCAATAGCGGCACGGGCGCCGGCCATGGTCGCAGGTGGAAGAGACGTGGTGAAGATGAATCCTGGCGCAAGAGACCTGATAGTATCGACCAAGGAGGCAGAGCCAGCGATGTAGCCACCCACACAGCCGTATGCTTTACCTAGGGTCCCTGTGATGATGTCGATCCGATCCATCACGGTGCCTTTCTGGGATTCCTTGGTTCTGTTTGGGTTGGCGTAGACATCGTAATCAAGGTGCTCGGCGACACCCGCGCCTCGCGGCCCGTACATTCCGACAGCATGGACTTCGTCGAGGAATGTGATAGCACCGTATTTGTCCGCAAGGTCGCAGATAGCTTCGATGGGAGCGATGGAACCACACATGCTATAGACAGACTCAAAAGCAATGATTTTGGGTTGCTCCGGGGGTAAACTGGCGAGTTTCGCCTCCAGATCGACCAGGTCGTTATGCTTGAAGACCATTTTCTTTGCACCAGAGTGACGAATCCCTTGAATCATGGATGCGTGGTTCATGCTGTCACTCAGAATAACACAGTCGGGCAATTTGCTGCCCAGGGTCGCCAAGGTAGCATCATTGGCGACATAGCAGGAAGAGAAGACCAGGGCGCCTTCTTTGCCGTGAAGATCGGCGAGTGTCTTTTCGAGTTCCACGGCGTGCTTGTTGTGGCCGGAGATGTTTCTAGTTCCTCCGGCACCCGCTCCGTACATGTCGAGCGTTTCGTGCATAGTCTTCAGGACATGCTTGTTGCGACCCATGCCCAAGTAGTCATTGGAACACCACACCGTGACCTTCTCGTCTTTTGCAGCCATGTGGGCACGAGGAAACTCCTTGGCCAGGCGATTGATGTTGTTGAAGTAGCGGTACGACTTGTCCTTGTGCTTCTTTTCGAGCTCATTGTTGTAGAAGCGCTCGTAGTCGAAACGTGGGGCAGGTGGCGCATTGGGCCTAGGGCCGGCGTAGGTGTCAGGTTTCTTGACGACATTCTTGACAGTCTGAGGAGGCGGAGCTAGGGAACCGATCAGTCCAAAATTCAATACGAGTATGATTGGTGGTGTATACCTGGCTGAGGAGAGCGGAACAGATTGGTGTCCACGCTAGCCTTCTTTTCAGCTGAGGTGTGCAGCTTTTTCTCGAGCAGAGATTTAACCACACCAGCACCAGCTGCGACATTGCCATAGCTGCGACGAGTGTTGATGCGAGCACTCTGGACGGCCAGAGCCTTGTTCATGACGGGGCATCGTCTGGCAATGAACTGCAGGTTCGTGATGGTGCCGCCACCTGGAGATTGGCGGGTCGAGGTGGACAAAGAGCGCAGGGTCGCAGGAGAAGTTTTCTTCAAGAAGGGGCAGACGCCCTTGGACTGGTGAAGCAGAGCTTCCATGGTGAACGAGCCGGTTTGTGTGTAAGGAAACAGTGACGGATAGGGTGGTAACAGAAAGGACAAAATGGACAAAGCAAGAGGGCGAGGACGTGGATGGGATGTGTGTTAGATGTGGATGGGATGGGGTGGGGATGGAGTAATATTTGCTCTCTCGGTATTGTTCGGTGGTCGGAAATAGAAAGAATGGAAAGAATATGGGGTCGAGCGGCAGCTGCGGCAGGGTTCGACAATTGGCCAACCACAGACCACTTATTAACGTGAATTGCTCGGTGTCTATTGCCCAATTCGGCCATCTTGCCCTTTCTGCCATTCCGCTACTTTCTGCAGAATCTTTCTACCGAAACAATCTGCCAGGTTCTGGCCACCAGCCTAGACTCAGGTACAGCCAGGTACGGCCACAGGCACGGATCTTGACTCGTCCTCGCGGAATCAGTGTCCGACCACCACATCATTCTCGCTAGCCAACGTATCCCATGCAGCCGTACTGCGGGATTGAAATTCAATAGCAGAGCCGCCATCCAGCTCACATCTCGCCAAAAATCTCAATCATCTCGGGTGCTAGCTTATGGTGCAGGATGAATCGTCTTTGCTGACCGCTCGTGCAGCTCACTTTGCCTGGGCACTCTAGCCTTATTTCGACTCTGGCTGGGCTGTCATTCCTACAGTCATCTTGCCTTTCAAAGGTCGCTATGACTTCACTTCTACCACCTCTGCGCCTTCGACCATCCTAATCCGACCCTCCAATCTTGGTGCAATAGCCTGAAGCACAAATTTCAGTATCAATGACCAGGTCAAGAGTCGAGTCGATCGATATGCAGTACTTACCTTGGTCCAGTCGACTTGAAACTCCCCTTCGTTCATAGGGTCTACACACCCGGCCTCACACCGTACACCTGCCAGACGCCGCCATTTCCGCGTCACCCTTCTTGCTACGAGAGATTCCCGCTCGTTCAGCATATCTGAGTGATCTTGGACGCGATGGCTGCTTTCATCTTCTGAGTCGTCAAGCGGGGTTGTCGTGCCTGTCTGACTGTCCATCGGCTTCAACTGATTTTCGCTTACGTCGTCGAGATTGGGCTCCACCACTGGGTGTGTCTCATGCAAGTTCTCGTGGATGGCGTCCCAATGCCGACTCAGGCTTTTGCCCCAATGCTTCCACTTGCCAATGATCTTCAACGACATGAAATACTGCCGAAGCATCATGCTTATCAGGATGCCATTCTCTTCCGAGACAATCTCTTCGGCCTCGCCCCCTTCCGATTTGACCAGTAAAGAATCGTAGCCGTCTTTGCCTCTGCCCATGTACCCTCGTGTGACAAGGACGTATTTTCTTTCCAAGTCTAGTGGCTGACCACCGACCCTGGTCCACTTGATTCGGTGGAGGGGTGGCAGTGATGGGTCGAACTCAAAAGTGATATTGGAGACTTGGGGGAAACGCCCTTCGAGGGCAGGATATGCGCCGACCGAATTCTCAAGAGCTGCAAGCAGGGCCGCTCCTGTGACTCGGATGACGATAGTAGGGTCCTCGAATGGAAAACTTGACATCCCGTTCATCAGCAGATACTCCGAATCACTCCAGCAGGGGCTTACCAATTCATGATGTCCTTCAATTTCAGAACCCCCGGCGGGTATATCTGGTCTCCACGAATGGTGCCGGCTGCCATGAGGCAACAATCGCCATTATAGTGGGCTCGCATCAGATCGCAAACAAAGTTGCCGATATTGGACTCCCTAAGTCTCACTGTGGTAAATCTCGCGTCGAGGGGGGCAGCCGTATACCCCAGAGGCTTTTCGAGTTTGTCCTTCAGGGACGCCGTCAGCTGGTCGACAACTCGTGTCATTTTTTCGTCCTCAGCAATATCCGACACGATATCCCGCCGGACAATGTGAAAATCCCATCCTTTGCCGCCCGCAGGTCGCCGTCGTGCTTCAATATAGCTGAGTTGCTTGAAGTCGCTTCCCGACCGCAAGACATGAGTCCCGTTGATCAGCGAGTGTTTGTAATAATGGTCGTGTCCTCCAAGTACGATATCGATCAGCCCTTCTGGTATCTTCTCGGCAAGTTTGTTATCGTTCGGCTCTCGCTGGTGTGTTAGAGCAATAATGATCTCGGCGCCTTCCTCCCGCAACTTGGGCACTAGTTCGATAGCTGTTGCGGAGGCTGATTTGTAGATCAAGTTGGGAGGTAAAGAGTTGATGGTATCCAACCACTCACGTTCCACGAGGCCAATGACTCCGATCTTGACGCCATTGGAGGCGGTCAGCATGACAGTTTTCGATGCTTTGCCGAGCGGAACATCCGGGCCATGTTGTGGATCTGTAGGCAGTCCTCAGCATGGGGTAATACACTGGATCGGTTCAGTAACACGAACCCAAGACGTTGGCCAGTAGCCAAGGAAATGTGCACTGTCGGGCAAGGCTCCGAAACTG